GTTATCCAGATACGACAAATCCTGTTATTATCGACATGCCCGAACACAACGCGGGTCAAATGGGGGGCACCATGCGTTTAGGAAAAAGAAAAACTGTTTTCGTCGTCGAAAATTCAATTCTTAGTAAGTATTGATTTTTTTTTTTTTTGAATATTATTATTGTATTATCTTTTTTGATTGATTTTTTTTTTTTTCAGAAAAATTATACGAAAATCGATCTTATATTGAAGAAAGACATCGTCACAGGTATGAAGTCAATATTGAATATAAAGACGATTTAGAAAAAGCTGGAATGATATTTGTGGGACAAGATGTCGATGGGCAAAGAATGCAAATTTTGGAATTGAATAATCATAATTATTACGTTGCCACTCAGTTTCATCCGGAATATCTATCCAGGTAATTTATACGATTCCCATTTGAATTATTGAAATTATTTTATTGAATTGAATTTATTCCCATTGAAATATTTTTAGGCCTTTACACCCGTCGCCGCCTTTTATGGGATTGATATTAGCTTCCATTGGTAAATTAAATTTTTCTTCTTAATTAAATTTATTTTAAACTTGACAAATATTTTATTATATAGAGAAATTTTTATAAATATTTTTAAAAATTTGATGAAATTAGATATATATATGTATAATAGCGTTATGAAATACAATATAAATGTATATATGTATATGTATATACAGAATTAGTGTATTCATACATTAATAATTGTATACTTACTTTGTTATTGTTTATTTGGAATTTTTTTTTATATGAATAAATAATATTTGCTCATATTGTTTTTATTAAAAATTTATGTTTTAATTTTTTATGTGTGTATGATGTACATTGGGGCTCCAAAAGGGGCTTTAATATTTCAATATTGTAAAACTTTGATTAGTGTGCTTGCTCTCTCTCAATTGGTTAAGAACCATAGATATATTTTAAAATAGTTTGTAAAGCCAGTAGTTACATTTTGTTCGATTGATTTTCCAATGAAAAAATTTTGTTTGTTATTGAGTAACTAATATTTAACACAAGTGATTTTATTCTCATACTAAAGTTATTATTATTGAATTTTAAATATTTTTATCGAAGGTGAAGGAATACTTTTTTAACATGTAACTCGGCGTTTGATAATTATTTTAATTTTTTTTGTAAAATTTAATATTAATTTTAAGAAAAATAAAAACTTTTTGTAAAGTTTAAAAAATTTTATTTTTGAATTAATTATTAATAAAAATTTTCGAAAATTAAATTATTTTAATAGTTTACAATTTATCGACAAACCAATTAATTAAATAATTAATAGTATCGCGTTATTATTAGTATAATATTATTTAAAAAAATTAAAAATATTCGAGTTTTAATGTAAACGATAATTGACATTTTATAAAATCAGAAATTACATTGTTTTTATACTCTATGGTTTTAAGCGTGTTTTAGAGTTCAGTAATGCCAACCGTGGTTTTCGATTTAAACCGTTTTTAAAAACAACATATTTTTACAGAATTTTTATAATTATTTACGGTTTAATTTTAATATATATATATAGTAATTTAATTTTTAGTTTTTAAAATAAAAATAAACGAACAATAAAATGAAAATCTACGAATCATCCTATTGTTAATAATCGTTTTTGATTAATATTCAAAATGTCTGTAATGTTTTGTTGTTTAAAAAATTGCTTTGACGGAATGGGATTTACAGAGCAATATGCTCTCAGAAGGGATCCAAATCCTGTTGTTTTGGATACAGCTTACATGGGTAAGTGTTTATTTTATTATTATCTGCTAAAACTTTCTTCAAAAATTTTTCTTTCCCTTTATTTTAATTGATTTAAATCATTTTTTAAAAAAAGGTCATGAAGTTGTTATTGTAAAAAATGGTTTAAGAATGTGTGGGAGTGGAGGATGTTTAGCCAGTGCTCCTTTGGTACAAAATAAGTCATATTTTGAAGTTAAACTTCAACAAGGTGGGGTTTGGGGTTGTGGTGTTGCCAGTAGATCAGCTGATGTCAATGCAGCTCCAGGTGGTCATGACAGTGAATCTTGGGTTTTGTGTTCAGATTTATGTATTAGGCATAATCAAAGTAGTATATACAAAGTTAATAATCAAATTCAAGAAGGAGATATAATTGTGAGTTATTATCACATTCAATTTTATTCTCTTCTTCCAAAAAAAAAGTGAACATTTTTTTTTTTTTTACAAACAAAGTAAAATTTTTTTAGGGAATTTGGTATGATCATCTGGAATTAAATTTTTCAATTAATGGAAAACCATTGGAATGTCCGGTTACTGGAATCAAGGGAACAGTATATCCTTGCTTATATGTTGATGATGGAGCTATTTTAGATATAATTGTTGACAACTTTTGTTACCAACCGCCAAGTGGCTTTGATAAAATAATGATAGAGCAATCGTTACTTTAAATTATTTCGATAACAAAAGGTCAATAATTATATATGTATGTCATCGTAATCTCGTTAAGTTTTAACAGTGCTTTATATTGAATATAGCTTTCTTTTAATTAATTTCATTTAAACAACAACAAAAAATTCATCTGTAATAATCACAAATCTAAAAATATTTTATACACTCTCTAACAAATCACCATTGTTACCATTTTAAAAAGACGACTACATTCCAATCACATATTAAATAATTTTATTTTGTTTTAAACTTAACTGGTAAAATATGATCTGTGTTTAATGCTAAATGGCAAATATTTATTTAATTAAAAAAAAAAATTAATGTTCTACATATAAATATCTTACGTAACAAATTATTAGCATTTATATTATTTAAAATAATTAACGAAATCATTAATTTAATAAAAAATTATCGAACAAAATAATAATTTAAATAAAAATTTAAGAAAACAAATTTATCACTATAATTATTTATTTTTTTATATATTTTGATTTAGTTTTTTATTTATTTAAAGACACACACACACACAAAAAAAAAAAAAGGAAATCACGTAAAAATCACTTTTAATCAAGCTTTATATAATAAAATCATTATTATTATATTTTTTTTATACATTTTTATATACATAGAAAAATGTGGCACATCTTTTACTCGTGTAATTTTTAGTTTTACTATATATATATATATTTAAAATAATATACGATATGAATTATTTTTAAAAATATTTCATTTATAATAAATTATGCATTAAAAACTGTTATAACTAAACTTTTTTTAGATATATATATTTTCGTATATTTAAAAAAAAAAAAAAAAAAAAGATCATTGTTTTTAATACTCATTTAAAATATAATTATAATACAAATTTTATTTAAAATAATAATAATAATAATAAATTAATTTAAAAAATTTTTTTGTTTAAAAAATAAATATGGATACCCGATAATAATAATATTTTAAATCATTTTTTTTTTTTTCTTTTCAATTCCTGGATAATTTAAAGTACAAATAAATGAAAATAATAATCCTAATGCAATTGTTAATATAACGGAAGAAGTTAAATAACTATT